TAGGACTCCAATTGACCCGTCTAAAGAATACACTTCCACCCCTACCTGTCGTACGAGAAATATATCATGGAATTCGGCAATAATGGGGACATGGGAGGACTGGCCATACTGTTACGTGACGGTGTCTCGAAACCTGGATGAGGGGATGTCCGGGACATGATTGATGCATGGCGGGTCCTCAAGCTAAGGTTTGTGTCCAGCAGTTCTTTACCAACAGCGGCTGCAACGCTCAATTCTGTGCACGTGATAAGTAGCTTGCCCTGGCAGGGTTGGTGTCCTCACCTCTTTCACGCGCGCGGATCACGGCCTCCGCTTTGAGAAGGAGCTTCTCCAACTCCTCCTTACTCTTGTCTCGTATGTATTCCTCATCTAGGAGTCGGTCCTGGTCCGCTGCGCCTTCCAAGTTGAGTCCCAGCATCTGAGCAGTAGCAATAACGGACGGGTCAACAGTACTGGATACCGAGCAGACACTGAGGTGGCGTCTATGGAGGGGTGTAACGTCGTCCGGAACAACGGAAGATATTTCATAGGGTGGAGGGGGCGGCGACTGGGCATCTTTTGAACGTAGTGCACTGTTCTGACTGCGCCTAAGTTGTGCTGGAGGCCTGGGTCGCGCGTTTGGTGGAGTGTTTGTAGAAAGCATGGTGTGGCTCAGGTGCAGAAAAACATTGGGTCGAAAACCACCTGAACTCTCCGGCATCTCAGAATGGTTCGCATACGCAAAAGTGAGGGCGTATTCGTCGCAATCTATTAGCTTCTTATTCATTTGATATTCAATAGAGACGAGTAATAGGACCTCGACTGCCCAGAGGGCAAAGGTCAAGAAGAAAGCTAGAGAGTCAAAGAAGAAGAATAGGAAAGAGGCGAAAAAGAACCCTCAACTTCATAAAAGTAAGTCATTCAATCTTTGAATCATATATACTAAACCCCGGTATGCAGAGAAAAAGAAGAAGGATCCTGGCATCCCTAATAGCTTTCCCTTCAAGGATCAAATTCTGGCAGAGGTGGCAGAAGCTCGAAGAATGGTAAGAAAAAGATTTTTCATCAACTGAATGCAACAAATTACTCATTACTTCCTAGGCTATGGAGGAGAAGCAACAGCAAAAAGATCAAAAGCGATCCGACCCCACCTCGAATGGTCAAACCGCATCAGTTCAGGCCAATCAAACATCCTCAACTGGTTTGAAACCGTCTCTTATCAGTAATGAGATGGACGTAGATGAGCCCCCACCCCTCATTGATACC